ACGAAGCAAATTTGGGGGCTACAGACGGGTTGAGCTGAACAAAACAAAGGTAGAGCTAAGGACGAGCCAAGGGAAGGGGAAGGGTAGCGGAAAGAACGAAGAAGGGAGGGGAGAAGCATAACGCACCCGAACGAATGGGGAGAAAGCACCGAACGTAAGAAAGAAGAGGGATAACGGACAAGCCGCCAACAAGGGCGGTATGAAGCAAGGGAGAAGAATAAGGAAGAAACACAAGCAGGGAGCAAAACGCCAACACCAGAAACGAAAGAAAGTGTCGAAGGGCAAGACCCCGCAGAGCGGGGGAGACGACAAACGTAAAGAAGAAGGGAGATGAAAAGACGAAGAAGGCGGACGACAGCAACAGACCGAGACAAGAGGAGCACCGCACAGAAGACACTAGACAAGCCGGATCAGAACAAGGAGACAGTAAGCACCGCACAGACAGACAGCGAAGCAAGACACGAAAGACCGGACAGAACGGACGCCAAGTCAGGGAGACGCGCAGCGCCGAAGCAAGGGGCGAAGGAGCACGAAGACCAGACCAGCACCAGGGCGACACCGCCGCAGGGGACGCAGACCTCCTCACTCCTCCGTCCCTCCTTCTACCGCCTCACTTGTCTCTCCCAGCCTCCCTCCTGTTTCTCCTCCCTCACTCCTCCTGTCTCCGCCCTCCTCCTCCTTGCTCACCTCCCTCTCCTCCTCCCTTCCTACTCCTGTCTCCTCCCTCTCCTCTTCCTCCTCCTGTCTCCTCCCTCCTCCTCCCTCCTCCTCCTGTTCCTACCTCCTCTCCTGTTCCTCCCTTCTTCCTCCTATGACTCCTCCCTCTCCTCTTGTGTCTCTCCCTCCTCCTCCTGTCGCCTCCCTCCTCCCCCTTCCTCCTCCTGTCTCCTCCCTCCTCCTCCTGTCTCCTCCCCTCCTCCTCCTGTCTCCTCCCTCCTCCTCCTGTCACCTCCCTCCTCCTCCCTCCTCCTCCTGTCTCCTCCCTCCTCCTCCTGTCTCCTCCCTCCTCCTCCTTCCTCCTCCTGTCTCCTCCCTCCTCCTCCCTCCTCCTCCTGTCTCCTCCCTCCTCCTCCTGTCTCCTCCCTCCTCCTCCTCCTCCTCCTGTCTCCTCCCTCCTCCTCCCTGTCACCTCCCTCCTCCTCCATCCTCCTCCTGTCTCCTCCCTCCTCCTCCTTCCTCCTCCTGTCTCCTCCCTCCTCCTCCTGTCTCCTCCCCCTTCCTCCTCCTGTCTCCTCCCTCCTCCTCCTTCCTCCTCCTGTCACCTCCCTCCTCCTCCTGTCTCCTCCCTCCTCCTCCTTCCTCCTCCTGTCTCCTCCCTCCTCCTCCTGTCTCCTCCCCCTTCCTCCTCCTGTCTCCTCCCTCCTCCTCCTTCCTCCTCCTGTCTCCTCCCTCCTCCTCCTGTCTCCTCCCTCCTCCTCCTGTCTCCTCCCCCTTCCTCCTCCCTCCTCCTCCTGTCACCTCCCTCCTCCTCCTTCCTCCTCCTGTCTCCTCCCTCCTCCTCCTGTCTCCTCCCCCTTCCTCCTCCTGTCTCCTCCCTCCTTCCTCCTCCTGTCACCTCCCTCCTCCTCCTTCCTCCTCCTGTCTCCTCCCTCCTCCTCCTGTCTCCTCCCCCCTTCCTCCTCCTGTCACCTCCCCTCCTCCTCCTGTCACCTCCCTCCTCCTCCTTCCTCCTCCTGTCTCCTCCCCCTTCCTCCTCCTGTCTCCTCCCTCCTCCTCCTGTCTCCTCCCTCCTCCTCCCTTCCTCCTCCTGTCTCCTCCCCCCTTCCTCCTCCTGTCTCCTCCCTCCTCCTCCTGTCTCCTCCCTCCTCCTCCTGTCTCCTCCCTCCTCCTCCTGTCTCCTGTCTCCTCCCCCCTTCCTCCTCCTGTCACCTCCCTCCTCCTCCCTCCTCCTCCTGTCACCTCCCTCCTCCTCCCTCCTCCTCCTGTCTCCTCCCTCCTCCTCCTGTCTCCTCCCTCCTCCTCCTTCCTCCTCCTGTCTCCTCCCTCCTCCTCCTGTCTCCTCCCCCTTCCTCCTCCTGTCTCCTCCCTCCTCCTCCTTCCTCCTCCTGTCACCTCCCTCCTCCTCCTGTCTCCTCCCTCCTCCTCCTTCCTCCTCCTGTCTCCTCCCTCCTCCTCCTGTCTCCTCCCCCTTCCTCCTCCTGTCTCCTCCCTCCTCCTCCTTCCTCCTCCTGTCTCCTCCCTCCTCCTCCTGTCTCCTCCCTCCTCCTCCTTCCTCCTCCTGTCACCTCCCTCCTCCTCCTTCCTCCTCCTGTCTCCTCCCTCCTCCTCCTGTCTCCTCCCCCTTCCTCCTCCTGTCACCTCCCTCCTCCTCCCTCCTCCTCCTGTCACCTCCCTCCTCCTCCTTCCTCCTCCTGTCTCCTCCCCCTTCCTCCTCCTGTCTCCTCCCTCCTCCTCCTGTCTCCTCCCTCCTCCTCCTTCCTCCTCCTGTCTCCTCCCCCTTCCTCCTCCTGTCTCCTCCCTCCTCCTCCTGTCTCCTCCCTCCTCCTCCTGTCTCCTCCCTCCTCCTCCTGTCTCCTCCCTCCTCCTCCTGTCTCCTCCCCCTTCCTCCTCCTGTCACCTCCCTCCTCCTCCCTCCTCCTCCTGTCACCTCCCTCCTCCTCCTTCCTCCTCCTGTCTCCTCCCCCTTCCTCCTCCCTCCTCCTCCTGTCTCCTCCCTCCTCCTCCTTCCTCCTCCTGTCTCCTCCCCCTTCCTCCTCCTGTCTCCTCCCTCCTCCTCCTGTCTCCTCCCTCCTCCTCCTGTCACCTCCCTCCTCCTCCTTCCTCCTCCTGTCTCCTCCCTCCTCCTCCTGTCTCCTCCCCCTTCCTCCTCCTGTCTCCTCCCTCCTCCTCCTGTCGCCTCCCTCCTCCTCCTCCTGTCTCCTCCCTCCTCCCCCTTCCTCCTCCTGTCTCCTCCCTCCTCCTCCTGTCGCCTCCCTCCTCCTCCTCCTGTCTCCTCCCTCCTCCCCCTTCCTCCTCCTGTCTCCTCCCTCCTCCTCCTGTCTCCTCCCTCCTCCTCCTGTCTCCTCCCTCCTCCTCCTGTCTCCTCCCTCCTCCTCCTGTCGCCTCCCTCCTCCTCCTCCTGTCTCCTCCCTCCTCCCCCTTCCTCCTCCTGTCTCCTCCCTCCTCCTCCTGTCTCCTCCCTCCTCCTCCTGTCTCCTCCCTCCTCCTCCTGTCACCTCCCTCCTCCTCCTTCCTCCTCCTGTCTCCTCCCTCCTCCTCCTGTCTCCTCCCCCTTCCTCCTCCTGTCTCCTCCCTCCACCTCCTGTCACCTCCCTCCTCCTCCTCCTGTCTCCTCCCTCCTCCTCCTGTCTCCTCCTGTCTCCTCCTCCTTCCTCCTCCTGTCTCCTCCCCCTTCCTCCTCCTGTCTCCTCCCCCTTCCTCCTCCTTCCTCCTCCTCCCTCCTCCTCCTGTCTCCTCCCCCTTCCTCCTCCTGTCTCCTCCCCCCTCCTCCTCCTGTCTCCTCCCTCCTCCTCCTGTCTCCTCCCTCCTCCTCCCTCCTCCTCCTTCCTCCTCCTGTCTCCTCCTCCTTCCTCCTCCTGTCTCCTCCCCCTTCCTCCTCCTGTCTCCTCCCCCTTCCTCCTCCTTCCTCCTCCTCCCTCCTCCTCCTGTCTCCTCCCCCTTCCTCCTCCTGTCTCCTCCCCCTTCCTCCTCCTGTCTCCTCCCTCCTCCTCCTGTCTCCTCCCTCCTCCTCCTTCCTCCTCCTGTCTCCTCCCTCCTCCTCCTGTCTCCTCCCTCCTCCTCCTGTCTCCTCCCTCCTCCTCCTGTCTCCTCCCTCCTCCTCCTGTCACCTCCCTCCTCCTCCCACCTCCCTCCTCCTCCCTCCTCCTCCTGTCTCCTCCCCCTTCCTCCTCCTGTCTCCTCCCTCCTCCTCCTGTCACCTCCCTCCTCCCCCTTCCTCCTCCTGTCTCCTCCCTCCTCCTCCTGTCTCCTCCCTCCTCCTCCTTCCTCCTCCTGTCTCCTCCCTCCTCCTCCTGTCTCCTCCCTCCTCCTCCTGTCTCCTCCCTCCTCCTCCTGTCACCTCCCTCCTCCTCCCACCTCCCTCCTCCTCCCTCCTCCTCCTGTCTCCTCCCCCTTCCTCCTCCTGTCTCCTCCCTCCTCCTCCTGTCACCTCCCTCCTCCCCCTTCCTCCTCCTGTCTCCTCCCTCCTCCTCCTGTCTCCTCCCTCCTCCTCCTTCCTCCTCCTGTCTCCTCCCTCCTCCTCCTGTCTCCTCCCTCCTCCTCCTGTCTCCTCCCTCCTCCTCCTGTCACCTCCCTCCTCCTGTCTCCTCCCTCCTCCTCCTGTCACCTCCCTCCTCCTCCCACCTCCCTCCTCCTCCTGTCTCCTCCCTCCTCCTCCTGTCTCCTCCCCCTTCCTCCTCCTGTCTCCTCCCTCCTCCTCCTGTCTCCTCCCTCCTCCTCCTGTCTCCTCCCTCCTCCTCCTTCCTCCTCCTGTCTCCTCCCTCCTCCTCCTGTCTCCTCCCTCCTCCTCCTGTCTCCTCCCTCCTCCTCCTGTCTCCTCCCCCTTCCTCCTCCCTCCTCCTCCTGTCACCTCCCTCCTCCTCCTTCCTCCTCCTGTCTCCTCCCTCCTCCTCCTGTCTCCTCCCCCTTCCTCCTCCTGTCTCCTCCCTCCTCCTCCTCCTGTCTCCTCCCTCCTCCTCCTTCCTCCTCCTGTCTCCTCCCTCCTCCTCCTTCCTCCTCCTGTCTCCTCCCTCCTCCTCCTGTCGCCTCCCTCCTCCTGTCTCCTCCTCCTTCCTCCTCCTGTCTCCTCCCTCCTCCTCCTGTCGCCTCCCTCCTCCTGTCTCCTCCCTCCTCCTCCTTCCTCCTCCTGTCTCCTCCCTCCTCCTCCTGTCTCCTCCCCCTTCCTCCTCCTGTCTCCTCCCTCCTCCTCCTGTCTCCTCCCTCCTCCTCCTGTCTCCTCCCTCCTCCTCCTGTCTCCTCCCTCCTCCTCCTGTCGCCTCCCTCCTCCTGTCTCCTCCTCCTCCTCCTGAGCGGACCGTTTTCCTGTTCTGCGTTTTGATGACCTGTCTCTGATCTCCTGTCAGTTGGCGAGTCGCTCGCTCCGTCAGCAGATGGTTGCCACGGTCACCATGCGCCTCCTTTTGTCGGGTTCTGATGGGGGCGGGACCCTCTGCTGCCTGGACCTCCAGACGGACCCCAGCACGCTGCTGCACCTCATCTCCAGTCTGGAGGCGGCCCTGGCGGCCATGAAAACGGGCCACGCCCGGCGGATTCTACGCAACATCAAATGACTGGACTCACTGGGAGGACTGGTTCTGATGCGGAGCGACGGCCCAGAGCGGCGGATCTCACTGCTGCTCTGATTAATAAAATGATTTCTCTTCTCTACGCTCATCTGATCTCCTTCAGTGAAAAACCAGTCAGACGTCACTTTAACCAGCAGTTTATTTATTAGATCAAGTCTTTGTACAGCGCCTCCTACAGCTTAGGAGGTCCAGCTATCCTCCATCCTTCCATTTTGCCAACTTTAGTGAAAAAGGCCAGCGTTCCCAGACCCAGGCAGGCTGTGGTACCAGTCATGGCGCTGTGGGCTGCAGAGAAACCAGTACAGTTAGCCTGATGCTCTTCCAGTAGCTATACTGGGACGGCTGCTTCCAGTTCATACTCACTGCGGGCTCCCAGGAAGATTCCCGAGGCGCAGCCTCCCATGAAGTAATTCAGCGGGTCGTCTGGAGCCTCGCGGGCCTGAGCGCTGAGACAGGTCGCCATTCCAAAGATGGCTCCCATGGTGGCTGCAAACAGAAGCGTAACGCAGCTGAGGTCAGTCTGTTCCTAGACTCACCAAACTCAGACTAGGATTAAATATGGCGTCCGCTTCCTGCTGGTTCAGTTACCCGGCGGCCCGATTCGACCCGGGAACCTTCCTCCATCAAAGTCAGGCTCTAATCCTAAACTCTGACTTTATCCTTTGAGTTTAGGGTTTCATTAAAGCTGCTGTGACTTAGTTTACTTTAGAGCCCTGATTCCACAGGTCACCATGACAACAGGAAACAGGAAGTGATGATCTCACCCCACAGGAACTGGAGGTTTAATGCAGAAATGGAAATATTGGAGGAAGCGTTTAAAAGACAAATTGCTGCGAAGGAGAGAGAGAGAGAGCTTCTGAGTGCCTATGGCAGGCCGTTATGACATTTAATAAAAGCTCTCCTCTCTGTTGTTCCGTGTATAGATCCATATTATAAGATTCTTCCTGATTAAAATCTCACTCTACACTGAACTGGGATATTTTCTAAATTACTTTTCAGCAGCAGAAACTGAATTTCAGAAAGTAAAATACTAAATTATTCTGGTAAGAATGAAGTTTATAGATCTAGAAATGTTTCCACTTTTTAAGTAGCTGTTCTGATATTTAACAGCTTGACTGAATATTTATAATATCTGAAAAACATTTCTTCATAGTTAAAATACAAATGCTGACCACTAACAATAGGAATACAGAGATCTATAATTGATTTCTAGACATCCAGAATGTTTATTCTAGATTTGACGAATGTCCTTTTGTTTAAAATGGAAATTTAGACAAGAAAAATGTTTTGTTTTTCCAGATATCAGTAATAAATTATGTTCTATTCAGTTTATTTCTATAGCTCCAATTCACATCATGTCATCTCAGGTCACTTTCCAGTTCACCAGATCATCCAGTCAGATTGATTCAAAGTTTTCTATCTAAGGAAAACCAGCTGATTGCATCGACTCATTGACTCTTCAGCAATCCCTCACACTAAGCATGCTTGTAGCGACAGTGGAGAGGAAAAACTCCCTTTGAACAGGAAGAAACCTCCAGCAGAACCAGGCTCAGCGTGAGCGGCCATCTGCTGAGGCCCACTGGGGTTCAAGGAGACAGAAGCAGACATAGAAAAAGAAGCATAGATACAAAAGGCAACTGTCAACCAGCTCCACAGGCGGCCATAGGCTTTTTTGTGGCCAGGATAATATTAGGGTTTTATTTCTTTAATGGTCGTAGATCAATGCATATTTAGAGGAACTCGCCTCTGAGCAGGTGAAGAAGAATAAAAAGGTTCTAATAGAACCTTTTTATTCTTCTCTATAAATATTTCATTATCTGTGTATTAATGTCTCTCATTCTTTAATTGGATCCTCGTCTGAAGGACAGACTATGTTCTATTAACATCTAAGGTGTCAAACTGTTCGTTTCCCTTTTATTGTTTATATTAAACTACAAGTACTACTGAGTAATCATGAAATAAAACAGCTGATTGGCTGTAACCATGGTAACAGACAGGGCTTTAGTAAAATGGATAAACTTTATGTCATTTTAGAGGCAGACTTTTTAAAGAAGAGTCTCAGATTTGGATCAATCAGACTGAATATTTCAGCTCAGTTTTCCCTACAGGCTGGATTATAAACTGGATTATAAGCAGAGCAGTTTACCCATGGTGACCGTCCCTCCGGCCGCTCTCTGCACCGCCGCTAACGCAGAGTCAGGCTGGAAGGCCACGATGTGATAGGCTGACCCAACCAGACCTGCAAGAAACAACCAATAAGAGGCCCGTCATCAACAGCTGTTCTGGTCCAGGCTCAGGTCCGGTACCTGACCCAGCTTCCAGGTGACCAGAACCAGAACCATGCTGATCAGCAGGAACCAGTAGGAGCCTCCTGGTTCCGGCTTTAGAGTTTAAATGTGAAACTAGTTCAATGATGAATCAGTGATTCTCCTGCAGACTAATGGATCTAATGAGGAACCAGCAGACCCTCTGGGCTAGCTTAGCAGGGCTAGCATCAGCCGGTTCGGTCCGGTCCGGTACCTACCCAGAGCGGTTCCCAGTTTGGTGCTGATCCATGTTTTCTCCACGCAGTCGCTGCCATCAGGAACATCCCAGTAACCCATCGCTCTGTTGCTACAAGGTCAACTCGGGATTTATCGCGAGAAGCCAGCCTGTTCTTCCTCTGACGTCATCAGGCGGGTGTACAGGCTCTGCTGCCCCCTGCCGGTAGGAGGCGGAGGCCTCTGCATGGGCTGCTTCTATTATAGAATAACCAGAAACCATCTAGACCTCAGTTTCTAGCTGACATAGAAAAACAGCATTTAGATCCGATTGGCTGCAGGAGCGGTTGGTTCATTCAGATATGCAACCCCTCCGTTCTATGGTGGATTATTATAGATTATAGAGACTAAGGCTTCCTTCCTGCTGGGATTAAACTAATCTAAGGCTGATCTAGAGCAAACAGGCTGAGATGATCCTCAGCATCAGATTCATTCATCTCATCATTTACCAACTACACCAGTATGATGTCATGATGTGATGATGTCATCCATCCATCACCCTCATCTGAGCTCAGATTCTACAGCAAAGAAAGGAAACCATCAGAATAATCTCTATTCTTTCCAGTTTATATCTTTTATTGTAGCTCTGTGATGTTTAGGAGCCTAAAGGACCAGAATCACATTAGCCCCGCCCCCCGCTGACCGTCTCTACAGCAGTCTGAGCGTCCAGCAGTCTGTCCCTGCAGGGACCTGCCTCCAGGCCACCGTACTCTGAGCTGCCTCAGGTTAGAGTTTGCTTTCATAGAGTCAGAGGAGAGAATCAACCAAAACTTTAATGCAGATTTTATTTTACAGATTTAACTCATCAAATGGTTCATTAAAGGTTTACAGCATTAATTCCCATCATCAGGCGGGTTTATAGGAAGCTGCTGCGGTTCTAAGGATCTGCACTAAAAGCCCGTTCATGGAGGGAATCACTGAGGGCAGCGTAGATCTATGACAACCAGATATACATCAGCTGAAGGCAGCATAGATCTACAGCATCCAGAAAGGCAACCAGGGGGTGGGAGGATGAAGCCGGATGATGGACAGCCTCCAAGCAATGGCTGCTTTCAGTCAGTAGGGGGCAGCGGCGCTGCCTGATGACATCACTTCCTCTTCCACAGGTGGCTGTAGCTGTCCACCTTAAAGTCGTCTTCATAAACATCTTCTGTCTTGGTTCTGGTCCTCTTCACTTCCCGCCTCTTCTGGCGAGTGCGGCGTTCCTCCTCCGACAGAGACGACAGGTCCGCCGGCATCTACGGAAACACAGCAGACAGAACCATCAACACTTTGGTCCAGAACCACCGGCAGAACCAGCGTCAGAACCACCATCAGAACCAGCATCAGAACCAGCGTCAGAACCACCATCAGAACCAGCATCAGAACCAGCGTCAGAACCACCGTCAGAACCACCGTCAGAACCACCGTCAGAACCAGCATCAGAACCAGCATCAGAACCACCGTCAGAACCACCGGCAGAACCAGCATCAGAACCAGCATCAGAACCACCGTCAGAACCACCGTCAGAACCAGCGTCAGAACCAGCGTCAGAACCACCATCAGAACCACCGTCAGAACCAGCATCAGAACCAGCATCAGAACCACCGTCAGAACCACCGGCAGAACCAGCATCAGAACCAGCGTCAGAACCAGCGTCAGAACCACCATCAGAACCACCGTCAGAACCACCGGCAGAACCACCATCAGAACCACCATCAGAACCAGCATCAGAACCAGCGTCAGAACCACCGTCAGAACCAGCATCAGAACCAGCATCAGAACCAGCGTCAGAACCAGCGTCAGAACCACCGTCAGAACCAGCATCAGAACCAGCATCAGAACCAGCATCAGAACCACCGTCAGAACCACCGTCAGAACCAGCATCAGAACCAGCATCAGAACCACCGGCAGAACCAGCATCAGAACCACCATCAGAACCACCATCAGAACCACCATCAGAACCAGCGTCAGAACCACCATCAGAACCACCGTCAGAACCACCGGCAGAACCAGCATCAGAACCAGCGTCAGAACCACCGTCAGAACCAGCATCAGAACCAGCGTCAGAACCACCATCAGAACCAGCATCAGAACCAGCGTCAGAACCACCATCAGAACCACCGGCAGAACCAGCATCAGAACCACCATCAGAACCAGCATCAGAACCAGCGTCAGAACCACCATCAGAACCACCGGCAGAACCAGCATCAGAACCAGCGTCAGAACCACCGTCAGAACCAGCGTCAGAACCACCGTCAGAACCACCGGCAGAACCAGCATCAGAACCACCATCAGAACCAGCATCAGAACCAGCATCAGAACCACCATCAGAACCAGCATCAGAACCACCGTCAGAACCACCGTCAGAACCACCGGCAGAACCACCGTCAGAACCACCGTCAGAACCAGCGTCAGAACCACCGTCAGAACCACCGGCAGAACCACCATCAGAACCACCGTCAGAACCACCGGCAGAACCACCGTCAGAACCACCGTCAGAACCAGCGTCAGAACCAGCATCAGAACCACCGTCAGAACCACCGGCAGAACCACCGTCAGAACCACCGTCAGAACCACCGTCAGAACCACCGGCAGAACCACCGTCAGAACCACCGTCAGAACCACCGTCAGAACCAGCGTCAGAACCACCATCAGAACCACCGGCAGAACCACCATCAGAACCACCGTCAGAACCACCGGCAGAACCACCGTCAGAACCACCGTCAGAACCAGCGTCAGAACCACCGTCAGAACCAGCATCAGAACCACCGTCAGAACCACCGTCAGAACCAGCATCAGAACCACCGTCAGAACCACCGGCAGAACCACCGTCAGAACCAGCGTCAGAACCAGCGTCAGAACCACCGTCAGAACCACCGGCAGAACCACCATCAGAACCACCATCAGAACCAGCATCAGAACCAGCGTCAGAACCACCGTCAGAACCAGCGTCAGAACCAGCGTCAGAACCACCGGCAGAACCAGCATCAGAACCAGCGTCAGAACCACCATCAGAACCACCGTCAGAACCACCGGCAGAACCACCATCAGAACCACCGTCAGAACCACCGGCAGAACCACCGTCAGAACCACCGTCAGAACCACCGGCAGAACCACCGTCAGAACCACCGTCAGAACCAGCGTCAGAACCACCGTCAGAACCACCGGCAGAACCACCATCAGAACCACCATCAGAACCAGCATCAGAACCAGCGTCAGAACCACCGTCAGAACCAGCGTCAGAACCAGCGTCAGAACCACCATCAGAACCAGCATCAGAACCAGCGTCAGAACCACCATCAGAACCACCGTCAGAACCACCGGCAGAACCACCATCAGAACCACCGTCAGAACCAGCATCAGAACCAGCGTCAGAACCACCGTCAGAACCACCGTCAGAACCAGCATCAGAACCAGCGTCAGAACCACCATCAGAACCAGCGTCAGAACCACCGGCAGAACCAGCATCAGAACCAGCATCAGAACCACCACCAGAACCACCAGCAGAACCACCGGCAGAACCAGCATCAGAACCAGCATCTGAACCACCACCAGAACCACCAGCAGAACCACCGGCAGAACCAGCATCAGAACCAGCATCAGAACCAGCATCAGAACCACCACCAGAACCACCGGCAGAACCAGCATCAGAACCAGCATCTGAACCAGCATCTGAACCACCGGCAGAACCAGCATCAGAACCACCACCAGAACCACCAGCAGAACCACCGGCAGAACCAGCATCAGAACCAGCATCAGAACCAGCATCTGAACCACCGGCAGAACCAGCATCAGAACCACCACCAGAACCACCAGCAGAACCACCGGCAGAACCAGCATCAGAACCAGCATCAGAACCACCGTCAGAACCACCGGCAGAACCACCGTCAGAACCACCGTCAGAACCAGCGTCAGAACCAGCATCAGAACCAGCATCAGAACCACCGTCAGAACCACCGGCAGAACCACCGTCAGAACCACCGTCAGAACCACCGTCAGAACCACCGGCAGAACCACCGTCAGAACCACCGTCAGAACCAGCGTCAGAACCACCATCAGAACCACCATCAGAACCACCGGCAGAACCACCATCAGAACCACCGTCAGAACCACCGGCAGAACCACCGTCAGAACCACCGTCAGAACCACCGTCAGAACCAGCGTCAGAACCACCGTCAGAACCAGCATCAGAACCACCGTCAGAACCACCGTCAGAACCAGCATCAGAACCACCGTCAGAACCACCGGCAGAACCACCGTCAGAACCACCGTCAGAACCAGCGTCAGAACCACCGTCAGAACCACCGGCAGAACCACCATCAGAACCACCATCAGAACCAGCATCAGAACCAGCGTCAGAACCACCGTCAGAACCAGCGTCAGAACCAGCGTCAGAACCACCGGCAGAACCACCATCAGAACCACCATCAGAACCAGCATCAGAACCAGCGTCAGAACCACCATCAGAACCACCGTCAGAACCACCGGCAGAACCACCATCAGAACCACCGTCAGAACCAGCATCAGAACCAGCGTCAGAACCACCGTCAGAACCACCGTCAGAACCAGCATCAGAACCAGCGTCAGAACCACCATCAGAACCAGCGTCAGAACCACCGGCAGAACCAGCATCAGAACCAGCATCAGAACCACCACCAGAACCACCAGCAGAACCACCGGCAGAACCAGCATCAGAACCAGCATCTGAACCACCACCAGAACCACCAGCAGAACCACCGGCAGAACCAGCATCAGAACCAGCATCAGAACCAGCATCAGAACCACCACCAGAACCACCGGCAGAACCAGCATCAGAACCAGCATCTGAACCAGCATCTGAACCACCGGCAGAACCAGCATCAGAACCACCACCAGAACCACCAGCAGAACCACCGGCAGAACCAGCATCAGAACCAGCATCAGAACCAGCATCTGAACCACCGGCAGAACCAGCATCAGAACCACCACCAGAACCACCAGCAGAACCACCGGCAGAACCAGCATCAGAACCAGCATCAGAACCAGCATCTGAACCACCGGCAGAACCAGCATCAGAACCAGCATCAGAACCACCGTCAGAACCACCGGCAGAACCACCGGCAGAACCAGCATCAGAACCAGCATCAGAACCACCATCAGAACCACCATCAGAACCACCATCAGAACCACCGTCAGAACCACCGGCAGAACCAGCATCAGAACCAGCGTCAGAACCACCATCAGAACCAGCATCAGAACCACCATCAGAACCAGCATCAGAACCAGCATCAGAACCACCGGCAGAACCAGCATCAGAACCAGCATCAGAACCACCGTCAGAACCACCGGCAGAACCACCGGCAGAACCAGCATCAGAACCACCGTCAGAACCAGCATCAGAACCACCATCAGAACCACCATCAGAACCAGCATCAGAACCAGCATCAGAACCAGCATCAGAACCAGCGTCAGAACCACCATCAGAACCAGCATCAGAACCAGCGTCAGAACCACCATCAGAACCAGCATCAGAACCAGCATCAGAACCACCATCAGAACCAGCGTCAGAACCAGCATCAGAACCACCATCAGAACCACCATCAGAACCACCATCAGAACCACCATCAGAACCAGCATCAGAACCACCATCAGAACCAGCGTCAGAACCAGCGTCAGAACCAGCATCAGAACCACCATCAGAACCACCATCAGAACCACCATCAGAACCAGCGTCAGAACCAGCATCAGAACCAGCGTCAGAACCAGCGTCAGAACCACCATCAGAACCACCGTCAGAACCAGCATCAGAACCAGCGTCAGAACCAGCGTCAGAACCAGCGTCAGAACCAGCGTCAGAACCAGCATCAGAACCACCATCAGAACCAGCGTCAGAACCAGCGTCAGAACCAGCATCAGAACCACCATCAGAACCAGCATCAGAACCACCATCAGAACCACCATCAGAACCAGCATCAGAACCAGCATCAGAACCACCATCAGAACCACCATCAGAACCAGCATCAGAACCACCATCAGAACCACCATCAGAACCACCATCAGAACCACCATCAGAACCAGCATCAGAACCACCATCAGAACCAGCATCAGAACCACCATCAGAACCACCATCAGAACCACCATCAGAACCAGCATCAGAACCACCATCAGAACCACCATCAGAACCAGCATCAGAACCAGCATCAGAACCACCATCAGAACCACCATCAGAACCAGCATCAGAACCAGCATCAGAACCAGCGTCAGAACCAGCATCAGAACCACCATCAGAACCAGCATCAGAACCAGCATCAGAACCAGCATCAGAACCACCATCAGAACCACCATCAGAACCAGCATCAGAACCAGCATCAGAACCAGCGTCAGAACCAGCATCAGAACCACCGTCAGAACCACCATCAGAACCAGCATCAGAACCAGCATCAGAACCAGCGTCAGAACCACCGTCAGAACCACCGTCAGAACCAGCATCAGAACCAGCATCAGAACCAGCATCAGAACCACCGTCAGAACCAGCATCAGAACCACCGTCAGAACCAGCATCAGAACCAGCGTCAGAACCAGCATCAGAACCACCGTCAGAACCAGCATCAGAACCACCATCAGAACCACCGTCAGAACCAGCGTCAGAACCACCGTCAGAACCAGCGTCAGAACCAGCATCAGAACCACCGTCAGAACCACCGTCAGAACCACCGTCAGAACCAGCATCAGAACCACCGTCAGAACCAGCGTCAGAACCAGCATCAGAACCACCGTCAGAACCAGCATCAGAACCACCATCAGAACCACCGTCAGAACCAGCGTCAGAACCACCGTCAGAACCAGCGTCAGAACCAGCATCAGAACCACCGTCAGAACCACCGTCAGAACCAGCGTCAGAACCAGCATCAGAACCAGCATCAGAACCAGCATCAGAACCACCATCAGAACCACCATCAGAACCAGCATCAGAACCAGCATCAGAACCAGCGTCAGAACCAGCATCAGAACCACCGTCAGAACCACCATCAGAACCAGCATCAGAACCAGCATCAGAACCAGCGTCAGAACCACCGTCAGAACCACCGTCAGAACCAGCATCAGAACCAGCATCAGAACCAGCATCAGAACCACCGTCAGAACCAGCATCAGAACCACCGTCAGAACCAGCATCAGAACCACCGTCAGAACCAGCGTCAGAACCAGCATCAGAACCACCGTCAGAACCAGCATCAGAACCACCATCAGAACCACCGTCAGAACCAGCGTCAGAACCACCGTCAGAACCAGCGTCAGAACCAGCATCAGAACCACCGTCAGAACCACCGTCAGAACCACCGTCAGAACCAGCGTCAGAACCAGCGTCAGAACCAGCATCAGAACCAGCATCAGAACCAGCATCAGAACCACCATCAGAACCACCATCAGAACCAGCGTCAGAACCACCATCAGAACCAGCATCAGAACCACCGTCAGAACCACCGTCAGAACCAGCGTCAGAACCAGCATCAGAACCACCGTCAGAACCACCGTCAGAACCAGCATCAGAACCAGCATCAGAACCAGCGTCAGAACCAGCATCAGAACCACCATCAGAACCAGCGTCAGAACCACCATCAGAACCAGCATCAGAACCAGCATCAGAACCACCATCAGAACCAGCGTCAGAACCACCATCAGAACCACCATCAGAACCAGCGTCAGAACCACCATCAGAACCAGCATCAGAACCAGCATCAGAACCACCATCAGAACCAGCGTCAGAACCACCATCAGAACCACCATCAGAACCAGCGTCAGAACCACCATCAGAACCACCATCAGAACCACCATCAGAACCACCATCAGAACCACCATCAGAACCAGCATCAGAACCAGCATCAGAACCACCATCAGAACCACCATCAGAACCACCATCAGAACCACCATCAGAACCAGCGTCAGAACCACCATCAGAACCACCATCAGAACCACCATCAGAACCACCATCAGAACCACCATCAGAACCAGCATCAGAACCACCATCAGAACCAGCGTCAGAACCACCATCAGAACCACCATCAGAACCAGCGTCAGAACCACCATCAGAACCAGCGTCAGAACCAGCGTCAGAACCACCGGCAGAACCAGCATCAGAACCAGCATCAGAACCAGCATCAGAACCAGCGTCAGAACCAGCGTCAGAACCACCATCAGAACCACCATCAGAACCAGCGTCAGAACCACCATCAGAACCAGCGTCAGAACCACCGTCAGAACCACCGGCAGAACCACCATCAGAACCAGCATCAGAACCACCATCAGAACCACCATCAGAACCAGCATCAGAACCACCATCAGAACCAGCGTCAGAACCACCATCAGAACCACCGTCAGAACCACCGGCAGAACCAGCATCAGAACCACCATCAGAACCAGCATCAGAACCAGCATCAGAACCACCGTCAGAACCACCGGCAGAACCAGCATCAGAACCAGCATCAGAACCACCATCAGAACCAGCATCAGAACCAGCATCAGAACCAGCGTCAGAACCACCATCAGAACCACCGGCAGAACCAGCATCAGAACCAGCGTCAGAACCACCATCAGAACCAGCGTCAGAACCACCATCAGAACCAGCGTCAGAACCACCATCAGAACCACCGGCAGAACCAGCATCAGAACCAGCATCAGAACCACCATCAGAACCACCATCAGAACCAGCATCAGAACCAGCATCAGAACCAGCGTCAGAACCACCATCAGAACCACCGGCAGAACCACCATCAGAACCAGCGTCAGAACCACCATCAGAACCACCGGCAGAACCAGCATCAGAACCAGCATCAGAACCACCGTCAGAACCAGCATCAGAACCAGCATCAGAACCAGCATCAGAACCAGCATCAGAACCAGCATCAGAACCACCGTCAGAACCACCGGCAGAACCAGCATCAGAACCACCATCAGAACCACCAGAACCTCAGGGTCATTCTCTGTTCCAACTGGAACATTAACGAGCCAAACATCCATATTTTCTAAATAAAGACAAACTCTACTTTCCTGCAGCCTTTGCTAACAAACAGACGCATCTATTTAAACATCCGTAATTTCTAGATAAAAGATAAAGTGGATAAAACTCAGTTTGGAGTTCTGGAGCATAAATCAATCATCATTATCATTACTTACCTACTGGTGTCAATAAACATTCTGCATAAAATTATATTAACAAGCACTAATATCTGAATAAATTGATTATTTGCTAAGTTTTTATCAAAACTGTTATCTTTGATTTCCCTGCAGACTCCTAGATGACCTGCAGAGACGCATCATTTTCTCTTTACGCCATAAAACACAAAAAGAAAAGAGCAGGAATTTTGTATCCACCATCTTTGATGTTAGAATATCGATGTTTTTAATTAACCACAAAAAATATCATGTTTAGAATATTGAGAGAATTACTGCTGCACCGTCTGCATTAGAGAGGAAAAATGGTAGGGGGGGGGCAATGATTGGCTAAGGGTGGCCATGGCCCCCCCTGGCCCCCCATCTAGCTCCACCCCCGCCCACCACCTCCTCCTTCACCTCCTCCTCCTCCTCCTCCTCCTCACTCACCAGCAGGATCCTTCGGGGCGCGGGGTACCGGATGCTGACCGTGGAGCCGTCGGGCTGAACCAGGAGCACCGGGTACTGCCGCTCATACTTCTGCCGCCCGCAGCGGACCACCGAGGTCCGGTTGGAGCCCAGCTGAGCTCCGGTACCGTGGAGGAAGGAGGAGCGGACCTCTGGGAGGAGCGGAGGCTGGAAGCGGCACCGGAAGAGGCTGCAGAGACAAACCCAGAAGGTGAGAAACCGAAGAAGCAGAACCGAAGCGGGACTCCAGCAGAACTCTACCGGCTCACCGACCTGGAAGGACGGAGGAGGATCTGCAGACCCCGCTGCGCCATGACGGACTGGACCACAGAACCAACAGCTTCCGGTTCATCTGCAGGCAGCTGGGCGGGGCTTCCGCGCCCCCTGGCGGTGAGGAGTCAGAGAGAAAAACTCCTAATTAAAAGATTATCGCTTTATTCACTTTATTCATCTTTACTTTAATCTGGATTACATGTTTATAATGTTGCACCCCCCCATGCTTTCCTTTTTTATTCCCATTTTTCTGCCAAACTTCCATTAATTTTTGTTATATTATGTTTTTAATTTCTAATAATCAGTAGAATATATTTATTTCTATGTTGGTTAAATTTTAGTTGTTGTCTTTACTGTTTTTTTTTTTTATTTTTGTCTGTCCTTTTCTTTTCATTAATGCTGGTATCCATAGCAACCATCCATATGCTGAACAATAAAGCTGTAACCTATACGCAAAGTCTGTTCATTGGTCCCCCATCAGTAAACATCACCGACCATCAGAAATCATTTTACCAACAGAAGCACACCTCTTTGTCCACCCTGGACAGAGAGGAGGAGGAGCCGCTGGTCTCCTCCTCCTCCTCTTTGTCCACCCTGGACAGAGAGGAGGAGGAGCCGCTGGTCTCCTCCTCCTCCTCTTTGTGCACCCTGGACAGAGAGGAGGAGGAGCCGCTGGTCTCCTCCTCCTCCTCTTTGTCCACCCTGGACAGAGAGGAGGACGAGCCGCTGGTCTCCTCCTCCTCCTCCTCTTTGTGCACCCTGGACAGAGAGGAGGAGGAGACCAGCTCCTCCTCCTCTCTGTCCAGGGTGCACAAAGAGGAGGAGGAGGAGGAGACTCTTTGTCCACCCTGGACAGAGAGGAGGAGGAGCCGCTGGTCTCCTCCTCCTCTTTGTGCACCCTGGACAGAGAGGAGGAGGAGACCAGCGGCTCCTCCTCCTCCCATCTAAACGGTCTGCCTCTCCTTCTCCCAGCTGGGTTTTAGTTGCCGACTCTGTAACCAACAGTTATTCTCACTTCCTTGAATATTTCTGCCACTTCCTGTTATAAAGCAGCTGGATAATATATCAGGCTGAGTGGGTTTTAGGTCTAGAGGAGCTGATCCAAACTCCAGGATGAACTCCTCTCTGTTTGCAGCTTTTTATCCTTAACTTTCTGGAGCTTTATTCAGTCATCAGGCCACATTCATCTAACTTCAAAGCATTTTACTGATTATAGAGTTTGATTCTAAATCATATTCACTTCTTTTCCTGGTAATAAACTTCACCTCTGATTTATCAGCTGAAAACTGAACTTTCTTCGCCATTATTCTACATCTGCTAAACATTTCTTCTTTGCTTATCTTTTCTTTTTCAAATCATCAACAAAACGAGGAAAAAACTTTTAACTTTGCAAAACTTATCAGCAGGAAAAATGACTCACTTTCCTTCCTGCAGGTTATTCTGCGTTTCCCTAAGCCGCCACCAGGGGCAACAAGGTTCACCATCACTGAAGGGGAAAGGAAGGCAGAAGAAGAGGAGGAGGAGGAGGAGGAAGAAGAAGAAATATTATAATTACCTTAAAATATATATACCCGGTGCATGTTGGACTCAGACAGGGCTGCCCTCTGTCACCGGTCCTGTTCATAACTTTTATGGACAGGATTTCTAGGTGCAGCCAAGGACCGGAGGGGGTCTGGTTCGGGGACCAGCGGATCTCGTCCCTGCTTTTTGCGGATGACGTAGTTCTGCTGGCTCCCTCCTGCCAAGACCTACAGCGTGCGCTGGGGCGGTTCGCAGCCGAGTGTGAAGCGGCCGGGATGAGAATCAGCTCCTCCAAGTCCGAGGCCATGGTTCTCGACCGGAAAAAGGTGGCTTGTCCCCTTCAGGTTGGAGGAGAGTCCTTGCCTCAAGTGGAGGAGTTCAAGTATCTTGGGGTCCTGTTCACGAGTGAGGGAAGAATGGAGCGGGAGATCGATAGACGGATCGGTGCGGCTGCTGCAATAATGCGGACGCTGCACCGGTCTGTCCTGGTGAAGAGAGAGCTGAGCGAAAAGGCAAAGCTCTCAATTTACCGGTCGGTCTACGTTCCTACCCTCACCTATGGTCATGAAATTTGGATCATGACCGAAAGAACGAGATCCCGGATACAAGCGGCTGAAATGAGCTTCCTCCGCAGGGTGGCTGGGCTCTCCCTTAGAGATGGGGTGAGGAGCTCGGTCATTCGGGAGAGGCTCAGTGTAGAGCCGGTCCTCCTCCACATCGAGAGGAGTCAGTTGAGGTGGCTCGGATATCTTCTTCGGATGCCTCCTGGACGCCTCCCTCGGGAGGTGTTCCAGGCACGTCCCACTGGGAGGAGGCCCAGGGGACGACCCAGGACACGCTGGAGAGACTATGTCTCTCGGCTGGCCTGGGAGCGCCTAGGGCTTCCCCCAACAGAGCTGGAGGAGGTGTCTGCGGAGAGGGAAGTCTGGGAGTCTCTGCTTAGTCTGCTGCCCCCGCGACCCGGTTCCGGATAAAGCGGGAGACGACGAGACGAGACCTTAAAATATATTCTGATGGTTCTAAGAATTTAAAAGGGTGTGTGGGAATAGGAATATATGTACCAGAGTTCAAAATACACATTTCTAAAAGAATTTCAGATCAACTATCTGTTTTCACAGCAGAGATGGTGGCAGATATACTGAGTTTCCAATGGGGGGAGGAGGTCAGAGCAGACAGGGTGGTGGTCTGCACGGATTCCAACGCAGTTTTAGAAAGTATTCAGGGAGAAGGAAATAATAGGAAAGATTTAGTATTAGAAATTCAGCACAGTTTATTTAGATTATACAGGGGTGGCATTGATATTTGGTTTTGTTGGGTTCCAGCACATGAAGGGGTAAAAGGAAATGAATTAGCAAAAAGGGCTTTAGAGGAGGCAATAACAATTACAATTCCTTTAGGGAAAGGGGAAGGAAAATCATTTATTAAGAGGAAAGAAACTGAAAAAAATGTGGAATGAAGATAAAAAAGGAAGAAGGTTATATAAAGTACAAAAGTCAGTATTAAATAGAAATATTAATGAGAGAAACCGAAGGGAAGAAATAATAATGATCAGATTAAGAGTAGGTCATACTTATTTAAATGACAATTTATACTTAATAGGGAGGAAAAATAATGATAAATGTGAAGGATGTGGAGAGATAGAACATGTAGAACATGTATTGATGAACTTTAAAACATCTGGACCTGAAAGGAAGAAATTGAAAAGAGTTGAAAGGACAGGCCAAGAATGGAGTCTTAAAGGATTATTGGGAAATAAAGGAAATATAAAAGATATTTATAGATTAAGGAAAGCATTATTTATTTATCTTCAGAATACAAAATTAAAAAATAGAATTTAATAGATGTAAAACAATGTTGCTACACACTCATGAACAGTAGGTGGCGGTATGCAGCTTAAAGTCGCTGGAGATCCGCCATGATAGAAAAGAAGAAGAAGGAGGAGGAGTAAGAAGAGGAGCAGTCAGCTGATGTAGAGGGAGGAGGTAAACTGAGGTAAACTTTCTTTCACTCTGAGCTTCTTTTCTGATTTTATTCTTTTTAGTTGATCTTTACTTTCAGCTTCTTGTCTTTGCTCGCTTCTGGTGGACAGATTAGATTAGATGAAAGCAGAAGGACGCGCTGCGATCACGTGATTTAGGATGACCAGATCTGGGTCTCTTTTATTGGGGGGGGGGGGGTGCTGGTCTACCGTCACTGACCCGCTGATGGTGTCCCCCCCACCCGCCTGCTTTACCGCCGGTTTCCAGGCTTCCATCACCGCAGGGGAGGAACTCTGTGATGAAACCTGATGAATGGGGACACCCGGCGGGGACACCTGACGAGGACACCTGGCGGGGACACCTGGAACTACAGTCCACTTCGATTGGGCTAATTTTCCTAAAATGAGCTCAAACATCTATTTATTGAATGATTTCCTATTGTTGAAAACAGGATAGAACTATAAAACACTGATATTTATATTTATAGATGTCAGAGTGTGACTTTTAGTGCTTTATATTTATATATAAGGCCCAAAAACATGAATGTATAACGAATAACAGCTGATTCTGATGCCAAAATTGATAAATCAAGCATCCCTGGAAGAACAGTTTCTATTCCATCCAGAAAATAAGCTGCATTTTAAATTAAGCAAAGCAGTTTGATTTTCTGCTAAACTTGCTGATATATTTTATCATTTCCCAGTAAATCTGTTTCCCCTTTAAATCTGCAGCTCTTCCTGCTTCTCTCTGTTAAAAAAGATCTATAAACCTCTTTACTAATATAATGATGCTAGAAACAGAATTTCTAGATGTGTAGAAGCTCTGCAGGCTGATTCTGTTTAACGAGAAAACATTTGAACCAGGAGCCATGATCCTCTGAGACGCTCAGAACAAACTGTTTTCTCAGCTTCCTGGTTATAAAACAAACTGCTATAAACTAATAATCTGTTATTTAGCTGAAGAAGCTCCAGATGTTTAACGAACAGGAAGATAGAAACGCTTTAACTAGACTTCAACAAATCATTTAATTAGCAGAAACTTTCTGACCATCAGTGAGTCTGAGAAAGTTCTGGTTGGAACCAGACTCTGAGATCACTGCCTGCTCCTCCTCCTGCCCTCCTTCCTCCTGCTGCTCCTCCTGCCCCCCTTCCTCCTGCTGCTCCTCCTCCTCCTTTTCCTCCTTCTGCTCCTCCTGCTCCTCCTCCTGCCCTCCTTCCTCCTGCTCCTCCTCCTGCCCTCCTTCCTCCTGCTCCTCCTCCTGCCCTCCTTCCTCCTGCTGCTCCTCCTGCCCCCCTTCCTCCTGCTGCTCCTCCTGCCCCCCTTCCTCCTGCTGCTCCTCCTCCTCCTTTTCCTCCTTCTGCTCCTCCTGCTCCTCCTCCTGCCCTCCTTCCTCCTGCTCCTCCTCCTGCCCCCCTTCCTCCTGCTGCTCCTCCTCCTCCTTTTCCTCCTTCTGCTCCTCCTGCTGCTCCTCCTCCTCCTGCTCCTCCTCCTTTTCCTCCTTCTGCTCCTCCTGCTGCTCCTCCTGCCCTCCTTCCTCCTGCTCCTCCTCCTGCCCTCCTTCCTCCTGCTGCTCCTCCTGCCCCCCTTCCTCCTGCTGCTCCTCCTGCCCCCCTTCCTCCTGCTGCTCCTCCTCCTCCTTTTCCTCCTTCTGCTCCTCCTGCTCCTCCTCCTGCCCTCCTTCCTCCTGCTCCTCCTCCTGCCCCCCTTCCTCCTGCTCCTCCTCCTGCCCCCCTTCCTCCTGCTGCTCCTCCTGCCCCCCTTCCTCCTGCTGCTCCTCCTCCTCCTTTTCCTCCTTCTGCTCCTCCTGCTCCTCCTCCTGCCCTCCTTCCTCCTGCTCCTCCTCCTGCCCCCCTTCCTCCTGCTGCTCCTCCTCCTCCTTTTCCTCCTTCTGCTCCTCCTGCTGCTCCTCCTCCTCCTGCTCCTCCTCCTTTTCCTCCTCCTGCCCTCCTTCCTCCTGCTCCTCCTCCTGCCCCCCTTCCTCCTGCTCCTCCTCCTGCCCTCCTTCCTCCTGCTCCTCCTCCTGCCCCCCTTCCTCCTGCTGCTCCTCCTCCTCCTTTTCCTCCTTCTGCTCCTCCTGCTGCTCCTCCTCCTCCTGCTCCTCCTCCTGCCCTCCTTCCTCCTGCTCCTCCTCCTGCCCCCCTTCCTCCTGCTGCTCCTCCTCCTCCTTTTCCTCCTTCTGCTCCTCCTGCTGCTCCTCCTCCTCCTGCTCCTCCTCCTTTTCCTCCTCCTGCCCTCCTTCCTCCTGCTCCTCCTCCTGCCCCCCTTCCTCCTGCTGCTCCTCCTCCTCCTTTTCCTCCTTCTGCTCCTCCTGCTGCTCCTCCTCCTCCTGCTCCTCCTCCTGCCCCCCTTCCTCCTGCTGCTCCTCCTCCTCCTTTTCCTCCTTCTGCTCCTCCTTTTCCTCCTCCTGCCCTCCTTCCTCCTGCTCCTCCTCCTGCCCCCCTTCCTCCTGCTGCTCCTCCTCCTCCTTTTCCTCCTTCTGCTCCTCCTGCTGCTCCTCCTCCTCCTGCTCCTCCTCCTGCCCTCCTTCCTCCTGCTCCTCCTCCTGCCCCCCTTCCTCCTGCTGCTCCTCCTCCTCCTTTTCCTCCTTCTGCTCCTCCTTTTCCTCCTCCTGCCCTCCTTCCTCCTGCTCCTCCTCCTGCCCCCCTTCCTCCTGCTCCTCCTCCTGCTCCTCCTCCTGCTCCTCCTCCTGCCCTCCTTCCTCCTGCTCCTCCTCCTGCCCCCCTTCCTCCTGCTGCTCCTCCTCCTCCTTTTCCTCCTTCTGCTCCTCCTGGTGCTGCGGTGCTCTATGATCACCGCAGCACCAGGAGGCCAATCCTGGTGGAGATCAGGGTTCTGGGGGAGAAGCTCCACCCATAGGTCTGCTGTGGGCGGGGAAAGATGGCGGCTGGCAGCAGATGGGCGGGACCTCAGACGTGTCAGAGATTCTGACCCAGAGTGGGACCAGTATCCGGCGCCATCAGGGGTAACTGGGGGTCCTGGAAGCTCCAGTCAGGGTGAATCAGTCAGGCTTCAATCTCTGGTCCATTTCTAACCTAAAAGAGGAAAACATGAGGAGCAGCAGGCCGAAGGTAACGGCTACGCCTTCGCCACTGGAAGCCCCGCCTTCGCCACTGGAAGCCCCGCCTCCAGCCGTCAGGCCCTCAAACAGGCTGAACCAGGAACTGGCTCCATTCTGCCAGGAGCTGCTTTCCCACGCTGCATGGTGCCGGGAAACTCCCAGCTCCTGATTGGCTCATTGGCCTGTAGGAGGAGCTTGTGTCTGTCGGCCATGTTTGATCCTGGTCTCTGTCAGCTTTAGGTTCTTCTGGGCAGACATGGCTGCCCTCCCTCTGCTGAAGAAGATGCTGGAGGACTTCCTGCCCCTGATGCTGCTGATCCAGCTCTCTGGTGAGTTCCTCCCCTCTAGACTAGCCTCACTAGGGGCCCCTCAGCCGGACTCCGGGGGCCCCTCAGCCGGGCTTCAACCAATCAGGATGTTTTATTTCTGATTCTGTCAGAGGGTTTTTGTAGCTGGCAGCAGGTGCAGCTGGTCCTTCTCTAAATACTTCCTCAGTAGTACTCCAGTAGTACTCCTGTAGTTTTTATTTCTCTGGGTTCTGGTCGAATGAACTCCTGATCTAAAGTTAAACCTAAACTCTGGATCAGGATCAAAAAGGTTCTCTGGTGCAGAAACGTGTGAAGAAGATGAAATGATGGTGAAGCTCAGGATCAGGAGTCCTGTTTCCGTTTGTTTGGTTAGGAAATACTTCAACATCTTTTTTTTCCTCTGGATTGTTCTGCAGAGTGCGGCGTGTCTCTAAATGCACCGGATGCTGTTACACTGGAGGAAAGCTCTTCTGCGGTCGTCATGGTTACCACCAGGTAAACAATAAAGAGGTTTTATTCTAAGCTGCAGATCCATCAACATCTGTTTGCCTTCTTTATGCTTCAGTGCAGTTTTATATATTCTATATTTGAGCTCAGAGGTCAAAGGTCAGGAGAGTCTGCAGGTGTGAAACCAGCAGAACGTCCTACAGGAGGAATCTTAGCTTCCTGTCAAAGTCTGCTCTGGTTCAGATAAAGGTTCAGTGTTAGCTGCTGCTGCTAAGGTTGGGGGGGGGGGGTTAATAAACCTGCAGATGCTAACATGCTCTGGTTGCTCAGAAACGGGTGATTTTAATCCAACACTGAAGCAAAGCAGTAAAACTAGAACGAGTCCTGCTTCAACAGAGGCGTCCATTTCTAAACATGCTGCTTATTTCCTCAGTTCGGCCGTCAGTCGCTCCACGCTGATCCACCTGAACGTGACCTACAGCTCCAAGGAGAACTATTCATCCATCGTCGCTCTGCCTGAACAGGTGAGGCTAACATGATGCCTAAACGATGTTCAATTATCAGGACGCTCCAGAGAGGATCTAGACCTGAAAGAACAAACCGAACCGCATTCTGACCCCAAGTTAGCATGCTCCACGGGTTAGCATGCTCCACGGGTTAGCATGCTCCACGGGTTAGCATGCTCCCACGGGTTAGCATGCCTCACGGGTTAGCATGCCCCACGGGTTAGCATACTCCACGGGTTAGCATGCTCCCACTGGTTAGCATACTCCACGGGTTAGCATGCTCCCACAGGTTAGCATGCTCCACGGGTTAGCATGCTCCACAGGTTAGCATGCTCCACAGGTTAGCATGCCCCACGGGTTAGCATGCTCCACGGGTTAGCATGCTCCACGGGTTAGCATGCTCCCACGGGTTAGCATGCCTCACGGGTTAGCATGCCCCACGGGTTAGCATACTCCACGGGTTAGCATGCTCCCACGGGTTAGCATACTCCACGGGTTAGCATGCTCCCACAGGTTAGCATACTCCACGGGTTAGCATGCTCCCACAGGTTAGCATACTCCACGGGTTAGCATGCTCCCACGGGTTAGCATACTCCACGGGTTAGCATGCTCCCACGGGTTAGCATACTCCACGGGTTAGCATGCCCCACGGGTTAGCATACTCCACGGGTTAGCATGCTCCACGGGTTAGCATACTCCACGGGTTAGCATGCTCCACGGGTTAGCATGCTCCCACAGGTTAGCATGCCCCACGGGTTAGCATGCTCCCACGGGTTAGCATACTCCACGGGTTAGCATGCTCCCACGGGTTAGCATACTCCACGGGTTAGCATGCCCCACGGGTTAGCATACTCCACGGGTTAGCATGCTCCACGGGTTAGCATACTCCACGGGTTAGCATGCTCCCACGGGTTAGCATACTCCACGGGTTAGCATGCCCCACGGGTTAGCATGCTCCACGGGTTAGCATGCTCCACGGGTTAGCATACTCCACGGGTTAGCATGCTCCCACGGGTTAGCATACTCCACGGGTTAGCATACTCCACGGGTTAGCATGCCCCACGGGTTAGCATACTCCACGGGTTAGCATGCTCCACGGGTTAGCATACTCCACGGGTTAGCATGCTCCACGGGTTAGCATGCTCCACGGGTTAGCATGCTCCACGGGTTAGCATGCTCCACGGGTTAGCATGCTCCCACAGGTTAGCATGCCCCACGGGTTAGCATGCCCCACGGGTTAGCATGCCCCACGGGTTAGCATACTCCACGGGTTAGCATGCCCCACGGGTTAGCATACTCCACGGGTTAGCATGCTCCCACGGGTTAGCATACTCCACGGGTTAGCATGCTCCCACAGGTTAGCATACTCCACGGGTTAGCATGCTCCCACAGGTTAGCATACTCCACGGGTTAGCATGCTCCCACGGGTTAGCATACTCCACGGGTTAGCATGCTCCCACGGGTTAGCATACTCCACGGGTTAGCATGCCCCACGGGTTAGCATACTCCACGGGTTAGCATGCTCCACGGGTTAGCATACTCCACGGGTTAGCATGCTCCACGGGTTAGCATGCTCCACGGGTTAGCATGCTCCCACGGGTTAGCATGCTCCCACGGGTTAGCATGCTCCCACGGGTTAGCATACTCCACGGGTTAGCATGCTCCCACGGGTTAGCATACTCCACGGGTTAGCATGCCCCACGGGTTAGCATGCCCCACGGGTTAGCATACTCCACGGGTTAGCATGCTCCACGGGTTAGCATACTCCACGGGTTAGCATGCTCCCACGGGTTAGCATACTCCACGGGTTAGCATGCTCCCACGGGTTAGCATACTCCACGGGTTAGCATGCCCCACGGGTTAGCATACTCCACGGGTTAGCATGCTCCACGGGTTAGCATACTCCACGGGTTAGCATGCTCCACGGGTTAGCATGCTCCACGGGTTAGCATGCTCCACAGTCTCAGATGTCGTCGCGCTCCAGATGACCTGCTGGGTTCTAAAGCAGCAGCTTATTTTCCAGTGATTCCTTCTTTCCTGTTTTCTTTCAGGTGTTGCTTCCAGAGAAGACCACCTCAGTCAACTTTACGGTGATTGGTCGCCATGCTGGTCAGGTGACCACCTTCCTGTCCACCAACAACACAGAGCTGAACAGGTGATCAGTTTATCCTTTATTTCACTTTATTTTTCTGTTTTGCTCCATAAATAAATTAATCCTCTGCGCTTCTATATCAACGCTTTAATGTTTTTTTCTCCTGCGCTGTTGACAGGATTTTATTATTAATCTTTTAACTTTTCACTTCACCACATTTTGTGTGATAATTTTTCTCTATAATCTTGTTGCCGCTGTAAACACCAGAATTTCCCTATTCTATTCTATTCTATTCTATTCTATTCTATTCTATTCTATTCTGTTCTATTCTACATTTGATCACTGCTGCACTTTAAGTAATGGAAATGTCATGAAAGTTGTACAAAACAAAACGTCATTTTATTTACATGTTCTATTCTCTGTGTACAAAATGAGCATAATAGTTGTCTAAGTTTAGTAAATCAAAGATGGCGTCATTGATGGTGGCGAATCAAGCGTCTTTGTTCTTCTGGGGTCCGATGGAAGCGAACATGACCGGAGCGTCTAGAAAAGGCATAACTATAGAATATTAAACAGATCAGAGTCGTGGTGGAACTTCTAGTTCATGATCATCCAGGAGGTCGGCTTCCTTTCCTCTGATAGAAACGGCGTCACTGATGCGACTTTCAGCAGTTCATCTCCATGGCAACAGAAATATCCAGATGGAGCCAGGATCAGTGACTGACGTTAGATCTCTCTCTCTCTCTCTCTCTGCAGCCCGTCCACCAGGATCCGGTTCATAGTGATCCACAGCCGGGTTCTGTCCGTGGTCGCCCAGGTGATCGGGTGGGTTTACTTCGTGGCGTGGTCCGTGTCCTTCTACCCGCAGGCCTTGGAGAACTGGAGGAGAAAAAGGTAATGTCTACCCACCTGGACCTCATCACTGATTCACCGGACCGCTTGGTTTCCTTCTCTGCTGTTCTAGAAGCTTCGGTTGGCGGAGCTGAGGTCGTGACCCCTGAGGTCGTGACCTGAGGTTTGGATGAATGCGGTCTCATTTCTTCTCTCTGAAGTCCAGCAGGTCTCCTGATGGAGCAGTGGTTCTGGTTCTCCTCAGTCCCGGATCGGATCAGGATAGCTCTGCTCTACCGGATCTAGATGCTCTAACTCTAGCCTCGCTCCTTTCCTTTCAAAGCTTCTTAGATAGACTTTTTTTTCTTCACAAACCTCTTAAAGTTGCAGTTGCTCATTTTTTCTGCAAACTTTTTCCTTCCACTCAACTTTCTCTGAACATATTCTGAGTTTTTCAGGATTCTGGGTTTCCATCATCTGCAGCTTTAATCATCAATAAAAGTTGAATCCATGTAATTAATGAGCTTAACCTGAAGTTAGCCTAATGTGTTGATCTTTACCCGTTTAGCAGCCGACGTGTAAAAGGGGGCGGAGCCTGCATCAATAAAACCGAAGGTTTTAACCTGGGCTTCTCTTTAGTGTCGTAGGTCTGAACTTTGACTTCCTGGCTCTCAACCTAACGGGCTTCTTCGCCTACAGCGTGTTCAACGTCGGCCTCTTCTGGATTCCTTACATCAAGGTAAATTCACGGATCAGACGGCGGACTGCGATGCGGAGCGGGAACGGCGATAAACGAGTCCCGTCTGCGTTGATCTTCTGTGTTTCTCTGCAGGAGGAGTTCCTTCAGAAAAACCCCAACGGGATCAACCCGGTCAGCGCCAACGACGTCTTCTTCAGCCTGCACGCCCTCCTCCTCTGTGCGATCTACGTCAGCCAGGCCGCTGTGTACGAGGTACGCCACCAGAGGGAGGCGTTGATCCGGCAGAGGGAGAACATGTCCTTACGGAGCTCTGTTCCCTTCTTTCAGAGGGGGGGTCAGACAGTGTCGTGGACGGCCAGGTGTCTGCTGCTGATTGGTTGGACCTTTGCTCTGATCAGCCTTTTTGTGGCCGTCGCCCAGAAGATCACCTGGTTGCAGTACCTGTACTACTTCTCCTACATTAAGCTCGCCGTCACCCTCATCAAATACGTGCCGCAGGTGAGCTAAAGGCGGACCGAATGCGGTGGCGTCCTACAGGCTAGCTGATGCTATGCTGTCTGATTCCAGGCGTACATGAACTACCGGAGGAAAAGCACGGAGGGCTGGAGCATCGGGAACGTCCTGCTGGACTTCACCGGTGGCGTCTTCAGCATTCTGCAGATGATCGCTCAGTCCTACAACAACGGTAAAAAACATCACTGCTGTCCTCTGCTCATGGTGCCGGAGGACCAGCCGTCTTCCTACCGCTTCCTCTGATGCTGTTCCCCTGCAGCCATTAGGAGCATCAGCTGACCTTCTGAAACATTCAGATGCATGAAGGAAAACTTTTCATAGAGAAATAGAGGAGATAGAGTGGAGAGGAGGAGCTGCTCAGTCTGGGAGACTTTCGGAAGTTTGACCCACAGAACCAGCAGAGCTGGACTGGTTTGGACTCAGACCCTCCAGGGCCTTTAACACACCTGACCTCAATATGACCTCATAGCAGCGCAGGCCTGCTGCTAGCGTAGCTCTGCGGTCTGGTGTGAAACTAGCGATACTGGAGGGTCTGCGTTTAACTCCCCGATCTAATGGCTCTGACCCCGGCTCCAGCCTCTGGGAGGTCTGTGGAAGTCCACTAGAGTCCACTAGAGTCCCCCACACCCGCTGATGCTTTTGTCTGCCTAACCTCCAGGTTAAATGTAGGAGGAGCTTCTGAGCTTCTTTCTTCTGGTGTTTCTCTCCAGATGAGTGGCAGCTGGTGTTCGGTGACCCCACCAAGTTTGGTCTGGGCCTTTTCTCCGTGGCGTTCGACGTCGTCTTCATGACTCAGCACTACTGTCTGTACCGACAGCCGCCACGGTACGAGGCCATTCCGGAGCAGCGGGACGACTGATCCACAAACGCTGCTCTACGGGAGCCTTTTCAGGCCAAAAAGGGATTCAATCTGCTGAGCGACGCCTTGGTTGGTTCTGCTCCAGCAGATGTTGATCGGCTGCTCTGAGCTCCATGGACTCCGTCTGTGACTCTGTGTCTGTTTTCTATCATGTCTACTTTATTCTGCTGTAAATGTTCATTAAAGTCAATCTGTAAATGGAAGCAGTGGATTTATTCATTTTTAGGGGATTTATTTTGTTTATATCTACGTTCATTTTTCTAAAGTTTTCAAAGATTAGCAGCACCAGCTGCTCTCTAACTGCGCTGAGATTTATTCCTCCTAGTTTGTTAAATGTTAAACTTTTCCAGCTCAGTCAGAACATTCCTGTTTAAACGTTTGGAGCAGTTCATTTTTCCTCAGTCTGAAGCCATTAAACCCGTTAGCGACATGCTAACATCTGAGCACATTCAGTGACCAGGTGGCTTCATGATGAAGTCCATAGATCATCCAGCAGTTTCACATCTTGAGGCCTAAACTAAAACATCTTAAAGAAAACTTAAGGATTACATTTAGAAAGGTCAAAGGTCACCACTGAGGAAAATGGAGCCAGAGAGATCAGATGCATCCTGGGAGTCTAGCCCCCCCCCCCAGCATGAGGCCGGCGTTCAGCTGGTCTCACCTGTGTGGCGTCAGAAACCTTTCAGCTCGGCACCTTTTCCTGCTGAAGGTCCGATCAGAACCTGAGCAGCTTCTTATTTACATCATTTCTGACGCGTTTCCAGCCGGATGGCCTCCTGCCATCACCCTAATCAGTCAGGATCTGCTCTGGATGTAAAGTGGAACATTTCACAAAGAGGCGTGAAGAATTGTTCAGTTTAGAGAAAGGCAACTTTAATCAGGTGGTTTAATGATGAAACTAAATAATCAGATATTATAATAATGGTTAATTATATATAAACGCCAGAAACATGGATTCCAGTTCTAACGAATCGAGCGCTGCCTGCATCATTTCCTTTATTTAACATCAGTCTGATATTAGAAATAAATAATTATTAGTCCGTCTGCAGAACAAAGATGGCTTCCAGTCTTCGGCCAACTCAGCATCGGGCCTGGATGGGATTCCTTTAGGTGGCGCCGGCCCCGGCGGGGTCAGTGGCCCCCCAGGGTCCCCCCAGGGGAGGCGCTGTTGTTGATGATGATGAGAGCAGGACTGGCCGTCTGCTGGCTGGATTCACACATGGCGGCGTGCTCCACCGGCTTGGCGAACACCCGCGGCGTGTTCAGGTTGTAGACGCCGGCGCGGAAGAAGCAGGCCTGCAGAGTGAGGCTCACCACCTCCCGCCCCCCCAGCTGCAGCTTGTACTGGTTCTGACCCACCCAGGCGAAGGAGGCGTGGACCTCCAGAGACTCTGAGCTGGAAGACATGAAGGAGAGAAACCGCTGAGGATGGAGGCGCTAACGGCCGCCATTAGTCATCCAGCGCTGCCAGTGAGGCGGGAGAACAACCAGGAGCTTCTGCTCATCAACATAAACAACTCTTTGATCTTATTTTAACTGCATTATATCATTTGGTCGCAGCTCATCTTATTGATCTGCTCAGATGAAGGGAAACATTTTTATAGAAATTATTCTTAGATCAGTTCTTGCAGTAGATTTGGGGTCTAGATCAGCTCCACCTTCACAGCTAGCATGTCTGCAGACTCCTCACATCCTGCGTCTCAGTATCGACACCAAGTCTGTTTGAACTATTTCTATTTTCTTTGTGCCTAAATTGATCCTCTGTCTTTACTGAGAAAAGTTTACGTTAAATTTCTCGCTTATTTCACCAGAGAATAAAACCTGCGTCCGTCTGGCTGCTCCCAGTCTGCAGCCTTAAAGGTTCTGTTAGCTTCTAGTTCTTTTTTCTACGCAACGCCTAAAAAACGCGACTTTGCTCCGATCAGCTGAGGAGGGCTACCCGTGGATACGCTAGCATCCTTAGCAGGAACTAAATCTAGATTAGCTGTTCACAGGATCCGCGGAGCGTTTCTAGGATCCGCGGAGCGTTTCTAGGATCCAGGGAGCGTTTCTAGGATCCACGGAGCGTTTCTAGGATCCAGGGAGCGTTTCTAGGATCCACGGAGCGTTTCTTGGATCCGCGGAGCGTTTCTAGGATCCGCGGAGCGTTTCTAGGATCCGCGGAGCGTTTCTAGGATCCGCGAAGCGTTTCTAGGATCCAGGGAGCGTTTCTAGGATCCGCGGAGCGTTTCTAGGATCCGCGGAGCGTTTCTAGGATCCGCGGAGCGTTTCTAGGATCCGCGGAGCGTTTCTAGGATCCGCGGAGCGTTTCTAGGATCCGCGGAGCGTTTCTAGGATCCGCGGAGCGTTTCTAGGATCCAGGGAGCGTTTCTAGGATCCGCGGAGCGTTTCTAGGATCCAGGGAGCGTTTCTAGGATCCGCGGAGCGTTTCTAGGATCCACGGAGCGTTTCTAGGATCCACGGAGCGTTTCTAGGATCCGCGGAGCGTTTCTAGGATCCAGGGAGCGTTTCTAGGATCCACGGAGCGTTTCTAGGATCCACGGAGCGTTTCTAGGATCCAGGGAGCGTTTCTAGGATCCACGGAGCGTTTCCACGATCCAGGGAGCGTTTCTAGGATCCACGGAGCGTTTCTAGGATCCAGGGAGCGTTTCTAGGATCCGCGGAGCGTTTCTAGGATCCACGGAGCGTTTCCACGATCCAGGGAGCGTTTCTAGGATCCACGGAGCGTTTCTAGGATCCAGGGAGCGTTTCTAGGATCCGCGGAGCGTTTCTAGGATCCAGGGAGCGTTTCTAGGATCCACGGAGCGTTTCTAGGATCCACGGAGCGTTTCTAGGATCCAGGGAGCGTTTCTAGGATCCACGGAGCGTTTCTAGGATCCAGGGAGCGTTTCTAGGATCCACGGAGCGTTTCTAGGATCCAGGGAGCGTTTCTAGGATCCACGGAGCGTTTCTAGGATCCACGGAGCGTTTCTAGGATCCAGGGAGCGTTTCTAGGATCCACGGAGCGTTTCTTGGATCCGCGGAGCGTTTCTAGGATCCGCGGAGCGTTTCTAGGATCCACGGAGCGTTTCTAGCATCCGCGGAGCGTTTCTAGGATCCGCGGAGCGTTTCTAGCATCCGCGGAGCGTTTCTAGGATCCGCGGAGCGTTTCTAGGATCCAGGGAGCGTTTCTAGGATCCACGGAGCGTTTCTAGGATCCAGGGAGCGTTTCTAGGATCCACGGAGCGTTTCTTGGATCCGCGGAGCGTTTCTAGGATCCGCGGAGCGTTTCTAGGATCCGCGAAGCGTTTCTAGGATCCAGGGAGCGTTTCTAGGATCCAGGGAGCGTTTCTAGGATCCGCGGAGCGTTTCTAGGATCCGCGGAGCGTTTCTAGGATCCGCGGAGCGTTTCTAGGATCCGCGGAGCGTTTCTAGGATCCAGGGAGCGTTTCTAGGATCCGCGGAGCGTTTCTAGGATCCAGGGAGCGTTTCTAGGATCCGCGGAGCGTTTCTAGGATCCACGGAGCGTTTCTAGGATCCACGGAGCGTTTCTAGGATCCACGGAGCGTTTCTAGGATCCAGGGAGCGTTTCTAGGATCCACGGAGCGTTTCTAGGATCCGCGGAGCGTTTCTAGGATCCAGGGAGCGTTTCTAGGATCCGCGGAGCGTTTCTAGGATCCGCGGAGCGTTTCTAGGATCCACGGAGCGTTTCTAGGATCCAGGGAGCGTTTCTAGGATCCACGGAGCGTTTCTAGGATCCACGGAGCGTTTCCACGATCCAGGGAGCGTTTCTAGGATCCACGGAGCGTTTCTAGGATCCACGGAGCGTTTCTAGGATCCAGGGAGCGTTTCTAGGATCCGCGGAGCGTATCTAGGATCCAGGGAGCGATTCTAGGATCCGCGGAGCGTTTCTAGGATCCGCGGAGCGTTTCTAGGATCCGCGGAGCGTTTCTAGGATCCACGGAGCGTTTCTAGGATCCAGGGAGCGTTTCTAGGATCCGCGGAGCGTTTCTAGGATCCGCGGAGCGTTTCTAGGATCCAGGGAGCGTTTCTAGGATCCGCGGAGCGTTCTAGGATCCGCGGAGCGTTTCTAGGATCCAGGGAGCGTTTCTAGGATCCGCGGAGCGTTTCTAGGATCCGCGGAGCGTTTCTAGGATCCGCGGAGCGTTTCTAGGATCCAGGGAGCGTTTCTAGGATCCGCGGAGCGTTTCTAGGATCCGCGGAGCGTTTCTAGGATCCAGGGAGCGATTCTAGGATCCAGGGAGCGATTCTAGGATCCAGGGAACGTTTCTAGGATCCACGGAGCGTTTCTAGGATCCAGGGAGCGTTTCTAGGATCCGCGGAGCGTTTCTAGGATCCGCGGAGCGTTTCTAGGATCCGCGGAGCGTTTCTAGGATCCGCGGAGCGTTTCTAGGATCCAGGGAGCGTTTCTAGGATCCACGGAGCGTTTCTAGGATCCGCGGAGCGTTTCTAGGATCCAGGGAGCGTTTCTAGGATCCGCGGAGCGTTTCTAGGATCCAGGGAGCGTTTCTAGGATCCAGAGAGCGATTCTAGGATCCAGGGAGCGTTTCTAGGATCCAGAGAGCGATTCTAGGATCCACGGTGCGTTTCTAGGATCCAGGGAGCGTTTCTAGGATCCGCGGAGCGTTTCTAGGATCCAGGGAGCGTTTCTAGGATCCGCGGAGCGTTTCTAGGATCCGCGGAGCGTTTCTAGGATCCAGGGAGCGTTTCTAGGATCCGCGGAGCGTTTCTAGGATCCAGGGAGCGTTTCTAGGATCCGCGGAGCGTTTCTAGGATCCGCGGAGCGTTTCTAGGATCCGCGGAGCGTTTCTAGGATCCGCGGAGCGTTTCTAGGATCCAGGGAGCGTTTCTAGGATCCGCGGAGCGTTTCTAGGATCCGCGGAGCGTTTCTAGGATCCAGGGAGCGATTCTAGGATCCAGGGAGCGATTCTAGGATCCAGGGAACGTTTCTAGGATCCACGGAGCGTTTCTAGGATCCAGGGAGCGTTTCTAGGATCCAGGGAGCGTTTCTAGGATCCACGGAGCGTTTCTAGGATCCACGGAGCGTTTCTAGGATCCAGGGAGCGTTTCTAGGATCCAGGGAGCGTTTCTAGGATCCAGGGAGCGATTCTAGGATCCGCGGAGCGTTTCTAGGATCCGCGGAGCGTTTCTAGGATCCGCGGAGCGTTTCTAGGATCCGCGGAGCGTTTCTAGGATACGCGGAGCGTTTCTAGGATCCGCGGAGCGTTTCTAGGATCCAGGGAGCGTTTCTAGGATCCACGGAGCGTTTCTAGGATCCAGGGAGCGTTTCTAGGATCCACGGAGCGTTTCTAGGATCCAGGGAGCGTTTCTAGGATCCAGGGAGCGTTTCTAGGATCCAGGGAGCGTTTCTAGGATCCAGGGAGCGATTCTAGGATCCGCGGAGCGTTTCTAGGATCCGCGGAGCGTTTCTAGGATCCAGGGAGCGATTCTAGGATCCGCGGAGCGTTTCTAGGATCCGCGGAGCGTTTCTAGGATCCGCGGAGCGTTTCTAGGATCCGCGGAGCGTTTCTAGGATCCACGGAGCGTTTCTAGGATCCACGGAGCGTTTCTAGGATCCAGGGAGCGTTTCTAGGATCCACGGAGCGTTTCTAGGATCCGCGGAGCGTTTCTAGGATCCGCGGAGCGTTTCTAGGATACGCGGAGCGTTTCTAGGATACGCGGAGCGTTTCTAGGATCCGCGGAGCGTTTCTAGGATCCAGGGAGCGTTTCTAGGATCCACGGAGCGTTTCTAGGATACAGGGAGCGTTTCTAGGATCCACGGAGCGTTTCTAGGATCCAGGGAGCGTTTCTAGGATCCGCGGAGCGTTTCTAGGATCCAGGGAGCGATTCTAGGATCCGCGGAGCGTTTCTAGGATCTGCGGAGCGTTTCTAGGATCCAGGGAGTGTTTCTAGGATCCGCGGAGCGTTTCTAGCATCCACGGAGCGTTTCTAGGATCCAGGGAGCGTTTCTAGGATCCAGGGAGCGTTTCTAGGATCCACTGAGCGTTTCTAGGATCCAGGGAGCGTTTCTAGGATCCGCGGAGCATTTCTAGGATCCAGGGAGCGTTTCTAGGATCCGCGGAGCGTTTCTAGGATCCAGGGAGCGTTTCTAGGATCCAGAGAGCGATTCTAGGATCCAGGGAGCGTTTCTAGGATCCAGAGAGCGATTCTAGGATCCACGGAGCGTTTCTAGGATCCAGGGAGCGTTTCTAGGATCCGCGGAGCGTTTCTAGGATCCAGGGAGCGTTTCTAGGATCCACGGAGCGTTTCTAGGATCCAGGGAGCGTTTCTAGGATCCACGGAGCGTTTCTAGGATCCAGGGAGCGTTTCTAGGATCCAGGGAGCGTTTCTAGGATCCACGGAGCGTTTCTAGGATCCACGGAGCGTTTCTAGGATCCAGAGAGCGATTCTAGGATCCGCGGAGCGTTTCTAGGATCCACGGAGCGTTTCTAGGATCCAGGGAGCGTTTCTAGGATCCACGGAGCGTTTCTAGGATCCACGGAGCGTTTCTAGGATCCGCGGAGCGTTTCTAGGATCCATGGAGCGTTTCTAGGATCCAGGGAGCGTTTCTAGGATCCGCGGAGCGTTTCTAGGATCCACGGAGCGTTTCTAGGATCCACGGAGCGTTTCTAGGATCCGCGGAGCGTTTCTAGGATCCAGGGAGCGTTTCTAGGATCCACGGAGCATTTCTAGGATCCAGGGAGCGTTTCTAGGATCCAGGGAGCGTTTCTAGGATCCGCGGAGCGTTTTTAGGATCCACGGAGCGTTTCTAGGATCCACGGAGCGTTTCTAGGATCCGCGGAGCGTTTCTAGGATCCAGGGAGCGTTTCTAGGATCCACGGAGCATTTCTAGGATCCAGGGAGCGTTTCTAGGATCCAGGGAGCGTTTCTAGGATCCGCGGAGCGTTTCTAGGATCCACGGAGCGTTTCTAGGATCCACGGAGCGTTTCTAGGATCCAGGGAGCGTTTCTAGGATCCAGGGAGCGTTTCTAGGATCCGCGGAGCGTTTTTAGGATCCACGGAGCGTTTCTAGGATCCACGGAGCGTTTCTAGGATCCAGGTAGCAATTCTTCACTGCTCCTCTTTAAATCACAGACCAAAGAAGATCAACAGATTAAAACTTATGTAAATAAATATAAATCCTGCATCGTTTACCAGTAAACTGGTTCCTATGGAAACATGCGGCTGTTTATTAGATAGACATAAAAGCTGTAGATTGGTTGTAAGCAAAGCTGGGATGAAACCTACCTGCTGCTTCTGTGTTGCAGATCTATGATGACATCTATTTGAGCCAATGAGCAGTTGGATAAGGTCAGCGTTACCGGGACCAAGCAAAGGCTGCAGGCACAAAGACAAATGTTACAACTGGAAAGTTACAGTCGCATGTTTATGTTACTATTTTGATATATTTTTTAAAGTTGCACTTTAAAAAAATGAAATTGTCCAGAAAGAATTTTATTTTTGTTTTACACAAAAAGACAAATAAATCTGTTTAGTCTATTTCTGCAGGAAACAGTAAAGAGGATTTGAACGGTTGCCGGGGAAACCGGATCAACAATGTGTTCCTGGTTCCTCCAGACTCTCCTGCTGCAGGAGCCATTTTAAAAATTATTCATCAGATTAATGATTATTGAAATAATTATAAACTAATTTAGTAATCGATTAACGGCAAACTACCTTTAGCTGACAGAGCAAGAATATCAACATTTATAACATAGATATATATAAATATTTGGCGTTTAAGATTAAAAACCTTTTGTGTCTTAATCTGCTCTATAATCCAGAAAAGTTTTCATTTCATTTAGAGAAAAGTCTTTAATCGCTAACATAAAAGTGTTCATCAAAGTCCTAAACAACGAGAGCTCTGCATCCACGGCAGCAATCTCTCACCCACGGCAGCAGTCTCTCACCCCCGGCAGCAGTCTCTCACCCACGGCAGCAATCTCTCACCCCCGGCAGCAGTCTCTCACCCCCGGCAGCAGTCTCTCACCCACGGCAGCAATCTCTCACCCACGGCAGCAATCTCTCACCCACGGCAGCAATCTCTCACCCACGGCAGCAGTCTCTCACCCCCGGCAGCAGTCTCTCACCCCCGGCAGCAGTCTCTCACCCCCGGCAGCAATCTCTCACCCACGGCAGCAGTCTCTCACCCACGGCAGCAGTCTCTCACCCACGGCAGCAGTCTCTCACCCACGGCAGCAGTCTCTCACCCCCGGCAGCAGTCTCTCATCCCCGGCAGCAGTCTCTCACCCACGGCAGCAGTCTCTCACCCACGGCAGCAATCTCTCACCCACGGCAGCAATCTCTCACCCACGGCAGCAGTCTCTCACCCACGGCAGCAGTCTCTCACCCACGGCAGCAGTCTCTCACCCACGGCAGCAGTCTCTCACGCACGGCAGCAGTCTCTCACGCACGGCAGCAGTCTCTCACGCACGGCAGCAGTCTCTCACGCACGGCAGCAGTCTCTCACCCACGGCAGCAATCTCTCACCCACGGCAGCAGTCTCTCACCCACGGCAGCAGTCTCTCACGCACGGCAGCAGTCTCTCACCCACGGCAGCAATCTCTCACCCACGGCAGCAGTCTCTCACCCACGGCAGCAGTCTCTCACCCACGGCAGCAGTCTCTCACCCACGGCAGCAATCTCTCACCCACGGCAGCAGTCTCTCACCCACGGCAGCAGTCTCTCACGCACGGCAGCAGTCTCTCACCCACGGCAGCAATCTCTCACCCACGGCAGCAGTCTCTCACCCACGGCAGCAATCTCTCACCCACGGCAGCAGTCTCTCACCCACGGCAGCAGTCTCTCACCCACGGCAGCAGTCTCTCACCCACGGCAGCAGTCTCTCACCCACGGCAGCAGTCTCTCACCCACGGCAGCAATCTCTCACGCACGGCAGCAGTCTCTCACCCACGGCAGCAGTCTCTCACGCACGGCAGCAATCTCTCACCCACGGCAGCAGTCTCTCACCCACGGCAGCAGTCTCTCACCCACGGCAGCAGTCTCTCACCCACGGCAGCAATCTCTCACCCACGGCAGCAGTCTCACCCACGGCAGCAGTCTCTCACCCACGGCAGCAATCTCTCACCCCCGGCAGCAGTCTCACCCACGGCAGCAGTCTCACCCACGGCAGCAGTCTCTCACCCACGGCAGCAGTCTCTCACCCACGGCAGCAATCTCTCACCCCCGGCAGCAGTCTCACCCACGGCAGCAGTCTCACCCACGGCAGCAGTCTCTCACCCACGGCAGCAATCTCTCACCCACGGCAGCAGTCTCACCCACGGCAGCAGTCTCTCACCCACGGCAGCAATCTCTCACCCACGGCAGCAGTCTCACCCACGGCAGCAATCTCTCACCCACGGCAGCAGTCTCTCACCCCCGGCAGCAGTCTCTCACCCCCGGCAGCAGTCTCTCACCCCCGGCAGCAGTCTCTCACCCACGGCAGCAATCTCTCACCCCCGGCAGCAATCTCTCACCCCCGGCAGCAGTCTCTCACCCCCGGCAGCAGTCTCACCCACGGCAGCAATCTCTCACCCCCGGCAGCAGTCTCTCACCCACGGCAGCAGTCTCTCACCCACGGCAGCAATCTCTCACCCACGGCAGCAGTCTCTCACCCCCGGCAGCAGTCTCTCACCCCCGGCAGCAGTCTCTCACCCCCGGCAGCAGTCTCTCACCCACGGCAGCAATCTCTCACCCACGGCAGCAATCTCTCACCCACGGCAGCAGTCTCTCACCCACGGCAGCAATCTCTCACCCCCGGCAGCAGTCTCACCCACGGCAGCAGTCTCACCCACGGCAGCAGTCTCTCACCCACGGCAGCAATCTCTCACCCACGGCAGCAGTCTCACCCACGGCAGCAGTCTCTCACCCCCGGCAGCAGTCTCTCACCCCCGGCAGCAGTCTCTCACCCCCGGCAGCAATCTCTCACCCACGGCAGCAGTCTCTCACGCACGGCAGCAGTCTCTCACCCACGGCAGCAATCTCTCACCCACGGCAGCAGTCTCTCACCCACGGCAGCAGTCTCTCACCCACGGCAGCAGTCTCTCACGTACGGCAGCAATCTCTCACCCACGGCAGCAGTCTCTCACCCACGGCAGCAGTCTCTCACCCACGGCAGCAGTCTCTCACCCACGGCAGCAATCTCTCACCCCCGGCAGCAGTCTCACCCACGGCAGCAATCTCTCACCCACGGCAGCAGTCTCACCCACGGCAGCAGTCTCTCACCCACGGCAGCAATCTCTCACCCACGGCAGCAGTCTCACCCACGGCAGCAGTCTCTCACCCACGGCAGCAGTCTCACCCACGGCAGCAGTCTCACCCACGGCAGCAATCTCTCACCCACGGCAGCAGTCTCACCCACGGCAGCAGTCTCTCACCCACGGCAGCAATCTCTCACCCACGGCAGCAGTCTCTCACCCACGGCAGCAGTCTCTCACGCACGGCAGCAATCTCTCACCCACGGCAGCAGTCTCTCACCCACGGCAGCAGTCTCTCACGCACGGCAGCAATCTCTCACCCACGGCAGCAGTCTCTCACCCACGGCAGCAGTCTCTCACCCACGGCAGCAGTCTCTCACCCACGGCAGCAGTCTCTCACCCACGGCAGCAGTCTCATACCTGTCTCTGAGGAAGTGATGGGAGAAGGTTTCAGGGTAGCCGAGGTTGGTCCTGATGAGCTGGGAAAGTTGTGGATGAGGCAGGAGGGCTGGAGGAGGTGACTCTGACCTAAACCTGAGGAGCATCATCTCCTGAGCTTCCTGGAAGCAGAGAGAAGCTGAGTGCAGGAAGCAGCAGTGAAGCCCAGCCTGAGGATGAGGATGGGGAAGGAGTCTACCTCTCTGGGGAGCAGAGAACTGGCCTCTTGGCCCACGGCCTGCAGAGCCACGTGGAGCTGGCCTTCCACGATCCGCTGCTTGTTGTCCTCCACCACATACGCCTGGAGACAGAAAAGCTTTTACCTTAATGTCACTAATAGAAGCACCATGAGGAGCAGAGACACAGCGAGGGGCTAACGGAGCTCGCTAACGTCTCCTGCTAGTCATCCTCAGAAGCTGAAGGACAGCAGCTTTGATCACTGTGAGGATGATGATGATGATGATGATGTCAAAGGGACCAACCTTCCAGATGACGATCAAATGAAGGTCCAGCTCATTGCACTTCTTGGCGATGCTTGTGATGTCAGAGGGGGGAGGGGCCTGGCCTCTGCTGCTGGAGGAGCTCCTGGCTGGTTGGTGGAACTCTGAGCTCTGACGGCAGCGGAAGAAGAAATCTCCACAGGGTGTGGAGGAGCTGACGATCTGCAGACAGGAAACGGCTCCGTGATTAAAACGCTGCAGCAGAGCGGTGACTGGAGCTGCAGCGACCGCCGTGCAGCTGAATGAGACGCACGTGACCTCTGACCTCTTCCAGAACCACTAATAATATTTAGCGCTCATAGTAAGAGGACAGCTGCAGCGTTAAAACCTGAAAGCGTCTCCAGGCCGGCGGCGTCCGCTCAGGTGACCCCAGAGAGGACCTCCACCTGCAGGGGGAACCTTCAGGAACCAGTGGTGTCTGCAGGCTGGGAGGCCTCTGGGACCTGAGGGCCCCCTGATGGACTGGTTGAACGGCAACAGGAACCGCTCCTTGCTATAGGGGGGATGAGTTAGAGCATCCTAATGTAGAAAAGTAAAGAATGAAAGAAATTACCCGTTCGTTTCCCAGATTCAGGTCTGAGAAAGTGAATTCCTTTACATCATCAGCTCCTGTTAACAATGAGAGACAGTCAGTCTGAGAAAGACAACTACGGTTGCTTCATTATGCACTCTAACAACAACCAATAACTAAAGTTAGCCAGACGGCAACTAAGGGCCAATCAGAGAGTAACTAAGGACCAATCAGAGGGCAACTAAGGGCCAATCAGAGGGTAACTAAGGGCCAATCAGAGGGCAACTAAGGGCCAATCAGAGGGCAACTAAGGACCAATCAGAGGGCAACTAAGGACCAATCAGACGGCAACTAAGGGCCAATCAGAGGGCAACTAAGGGCCAATCAGAGGGCAACTAAGGGCCAATCAGAGGGTAACCAAGGGCTAATCAGAGGGCAACTAAGGGCCAATCAGAGGGTAACTAAGGGCCAATCAGAGGGCAACTAAGGGCCAATCAGAGGGCAACTAAGGGCCAATCAGAGGGCAACTAAGGGCCAATCAGAGGGTAACTAAGGGCCAATCAGAGGGCAACTAAGGGCCAATCAGAGGGCAACTAAGGGCCAATCAGAGGGTAACCAAGGGCTAATCAGAGGGGGCCTGTGTGTTTTTGAAGTACCTTCATGGGGTTTGCATCGCGTAGCCTTAAAGCACAGCTTGGCTCGTTCTCGGCTGCTGAGTCTGCAATCTGGAGAGAAAGAAAAAACAGTGATGCTGCCATTCTGCTTCCCGTCAGAGGGCGCTCCGATACAGTACCGAGGTCACACCATCAGAGGGCGCCCCGATACAGTACCGAGGTCACACCATCAGAGGGCGCCCCGATACAGTACCGAGGTCACACCATTAGAGGGCGCCCCGATACAGTACCGAGGTCACACCATCAGAGGGCGCCCCGATACAGTACCGAGGTCACACCATCAGAGGGCGCCCCGATACAGTACCGAGGTCACACCATTAGAGGGCGCCCCGATACAGTACCGAGGTCACAGCATCAGAGGGCGCCCCGATACAGTACCGAGGTCACAGCCGTCAGAGGGCGCTCCGATACAGTACCGAGGTCACAGCATCAGAGGGCGCCCCGATACAGTACCGAGGTCACAGCCGTCAGAGGGCGCTCCGATACAGTACCGAGGTCACAGCATCAGAGGGCGCCCCGATACAGTACCGAGGTCACAGCATCAGAGGGCGCTCCGATACAGTACCGAGGTCACAGCCGTCAGAGGGCGCCCCGATACAGTACCGAGGTCACAGCCGTGAGAGGGCGCTCCGATACAGTACCGAGGTCACAGCATCAGAGGGCGCTCCGATACAGTACAGAGGTCACAGCCGTCAGAGGGCGCCCCGATACAGTACCGAGGTCACAGCCGTGAGAGGGCGCTCCGATACAGTACCGAGGTCACACCATTAGAGGGCGCTCCGATACAGTACCGAGGTCACACCATCAGAGGGCGCCCCGATACAGTACCGAGGTCACACCATCAGAGGGCGCCCCGATACAGTACCGAGGTCACACCATTAGAGGGCGCCCCGATACAGTACCGAGGTCACAGCATCAGAGGGCGCCCCGATACAGTACCGAGGTCACAGCCGTCAGAGGGCGCTCCGATACAGTACCGAGGTCACAGCCGTCAGAGGGCGCTCCGATACAGTACCGAGGTCACAGCATCAGAGGGCGCCCCGATACAGTACCGAGGTCACACCATTAGAGGGCGCCCCGATACAGTACCGAGGTCACAGCATCAGAGGGCGCCCCGATACAGTACCGAGGTCACAGCCTTCAGAGGGCGCCCCGATACAGTACCGAGGTCACAGCCGTCAGAGGGCGCTCCGATACAGTACCGAGGTCACACCATCAGAAGGCGCCCCGATACAGTACCGAGGTCACACCATCAGAGGGCGCCCCGATACAGTACCGAGGTCACACCATCAGAAGGCGCCCCGATACAGTACCGAGGTCACACCATCAGAGGGCGCCCCGATACAGTACCGAGGTCACACCATCAGAGGGCGCCCCGATACAGTACCGAGGTCACAGCATCAGAGGGCGCCCCGATACAGTACCGAGGTCACAGCATCAGAGGGCGCCCCGATACAGTACCGAGGTCACAGCATCAGAGGGCGCCCCGATACAGTACCGAGGTCACACCATCAGAGGGCGCCCCGATACAGTACCGAGGTCACACCATCAGAGGGCGCCCCGATACAGTACCGAGGTCACAGCATCAGAGGGCGCCCCGATACAGTACCGAGGTCACAGCATCAGAGGGCGCCCCGATACAGTACCGAGGTCACAGCCGTCAGAGGGCGCTCCGATACAGTACCGAGGTCACACCATCAGAGGGCGCCCCGATACAGTACCGAGGTCACACCATCAGAGGGCGCCCCGATACAGTACCGAGGTCACACCATCAGAGGGCGCCCCGATACAGTACCGAGGTCACACCATCAGAGGGCGCCCCGATACAGTACCGAGGTCACAGCATCAGAGGGCGCCCCGATACAGTACCGAGGTCACAGCATCAGAGGGCGCCCCGATACAGTACCGAGGTCACAGCCGTCAGAGGGCGCTCCGATACAGTACCGAGGTCACACCATCAGAGGGCGCCCCGATACAGTACCGAGGTCACAGCATCAGAGGGCGCCCCGATACAGTACCGAGGTCACGGCCATCAGAGGGCGCCCCGATACAGTACCGAGGTCACGGCCATCAGAGGGCGCCCCGATACAGTACCGAGGTCACGCTCACAAGAGGGCGCCCCGACACCGTACCCAGGTCACGGCCGCCAGAGGGCGCCCCGATACAGTACCGAGGTCACAGCATCAGAGGGCGCCCCGATACAGTACCGAGGTCACATCATCAGAGGGCGCCCCGATACAGTACCGAGGTCACAGCATCAGAGGGCGCCCCGATACAGTACCAAGGTCACGGCCATCAGAGGGCGCCCCGATACAGTACCGAGGTCACGGCCATCAGAGGGCGCCCCGATACAGTACCGAGGTCACGGCCATCAGAGGGCGCCCCGATACAGTACCAAGGTCACGGCCACCAGAGGGCGCCCCGACACCGTACCCAGGTCACGGCCGCCAGAGGGCGCCACAACACCGTACCCAGGTCACGGCCACCAGAGGGCGCCCCGACACCGTACCCAGGTCACGGCCACCAGAATGGGATTCCCAGTGACAGCGCAGCGCCGGTATGTGGGGGTCTGAGCGGCTCCCACAGAGAAATAATCTTTGAAGGCAGGATGGTAATCTGGATGAACTGACTGCACAGACCATGTTTTCAGGAGGACTTTCGCACTTCAACGTAGATTCAGATTTTCCTGCAGCCGTTAGTAACAGAAGGATTGCTGATGGTTGATTATCGTTTCATGCTAAAGTAAAATAAGTCATAATTTTTCATTAATTGTGTTTATTTAGAAACTCTACAGATGAAGTTCAGGTTTGGTTCATAACATCAGCAGGTTACTGGATACGTGCTTTAAACTGTGATGGTTACCATGGAGACACATCCCAGCGGGCTCAGCCTGTTTATTGGACCAAATGCACGATGATTGTGAGCAGACTCACCATGACTGTGGTCTGGATTGATGTGCTTGAGGAGGCGCCAGTGCTGGCTGCTGCTGGACACCTGGACGATGTGGAACTCACGCACGCCGCTCTCACTCTGGACAAACAGAGGTCATTAGAAAACCACACGGAACCCGAAGCCCAACACGCAGGCGGTCCGACTCACCGCGTTCACGTTCTCCACATCGATGAAGATCAGCGTTCCCCCGCCGCCTCTGTCGTCCAGGGAGCTGTGAGGAGCGGCGCTGCTGCGGCAGGCCGACGCCTGGACGCTCAACGACCGGCTGGCACAGATGAACACCGAGTGACGCAACACCCGATGGCTTCACCAGAGAGAGGACACACCATCAGAACCAGTTCAGAACCAGAACCATCTCAATCCATAAAACAGTTCCTGATGTAGTTTCATCCATCCATCATCCATCCATTCATCATCCACCCATCCATCCATCTCTCATCCATCCATCATCCACCCATCCATCCATCATCCATCCATCAATCATCCACCCACCCATCCATCCATCAATCATCCATCCATCAATCATCCATCCATCCACCCATCCATCCACCCATCATCCACCCATCCATCCATCATCCATCCATCAATCATCCACCCACCCATCCATCAATCATCCATCCATCATCC